TATTTAAAGTAGAACTCAAATCTTACATAAGTAGTCACTAATTACTGATTACTAGATCACAAAAACGTTTTATTCTTTTTAGATGATTCTAAGTATTCATTCATTACCAAAAGATGAAATTATTAAAAGAATTAAGTAAATTAACATGAGGGAGAGTTCGGTTTGAGTCTCATCCATCGTGTGTTATTGGGGTGAGGTTAATCTGCTGTAATTTTAGTATGAAGATGTCAAGATTTTTATTTTTATGTAAATAAGAATCAAAGGTGTAGTGCTTGACTCTCCCACTATACCTGGATAATCTTATGCAGTAATAATATGCTAGGTATAAGAAAAGAAATTAACGTATATACCTGCAACTGGAATTTCTACGGCGAACTCGGTGTAACAGAAAACGGAAAGCATAGCGGAGACACCGGATATTACATACGACAGGATGATAGCAGGACCAGCAACTTCGTTAGCTTGAAGGCCGGTGAGGACGAAAATACCGGCGCCGACGACGGCACCAATTCCAAACCAGATGAGGTCCCACCATGTGAGGTTCTTCTTCATCTCATGGTTGCTCCTGGCCTTGATCTCATGGAGCTCGGCGGTCTCCAGAGATCGGGTCAGGAGCCGGTCCATGAACCGGTGTGGAGTTTCGCTAAGTGCTTTAACATAATTCCCCATGCTCCTGAAGGACTCCTCAGGAAGAAAATCATCTTTCAGGCTTCGATTTATCCCACTTTCACCTCCTGCTGCACTGCCTACTTCCATCCTGAATTTTTCGCACACAGAAAAACAAAATTAGTAGTATAAACGAAAATTGAAAAAAATTTCTAAAATTACAAGCTCAATATATGTTTTATTTTATACTTTAAATCACCATAAATTACAAAATATAAAATGTTAAATAAAAGATAATTTAATATTAATAGTTTTATTTTTTTAATTTAATAATTTAACCATATGAGACTTTTTTTTTTCTAGGAAACCAACGAGAAAATAAAGAATGACGCGAACAACATACCTCTAAAACAGCTAAAACACGATGGATTGGAAAAGCAAACACGGAGTCGAGAAAGCCTTTATAAAGCGTCAAAAAAGTATTGGCCGCCTGAGTATACCTACCACTAAAACAGGGTGGCTTGCCTTTTCTTCCATTGAAAAAAAGACGTCAATACAATACAAGGACGTAAATCCAAATCAAGTCAATTGAAAAATTGAAACAAAACAATTGATTCGTTACGCAACAGAAAAGAAATTGAAATTTTATTAAATTAATACTGAACAATCCATGTTAATAATAATATTAACAGATAATCAGTAGACTTCTGGTTAAATTGAATGCCTCTGTTTTGTCCTTTTAACAGTCAACACCAAAGATTCAGAGAAAACAGATAAAGTCCTACTTACTCCAAATTTAATTGCTACAAAGAAGAATAAAATTTACCTGGGGAAGACTAAGAAATTAAACATTATAAATCAGAGAAGTGAGCAACAATAATAACAATGGAGAAACCTTAAGCAAGCAGTTTCACAAGTCTTTAAATAGAGGGACATACAGATCTTAATCGAACAAATTCACAATG